GACCCCGGATAGGCGGAAGAAAATGGATGGATGGATGGATGGATGGATGGATTTTCTGTTCATGTAACTTTACTTTTATGTAGTTATCTTTTTCAAGTACTTTATAGACCTCTGATATTTACTTTTAATGAAATCATATATATTCCCTCATATTTACTCTACTAGGTTTAGTGGAACCAGTTGACATGACTTGGTTGAGTAAATTCAACACTTTCTTTTTTTAGGGTGCATAAAACTCCTTTCATGATGAGTTCAGACATATTTAATTTGTAACGAGTAACTAGGAGTTAATTTTAAAGTAAAGAAGTAAAATGATAATTTTTATGTTTTAAATGTTACAAAATAAAAGAAATGATTAAAAAAGACTTTGTAAAACAACAAATCCTCAAAAAATTACTTAAGTACTGTAACACAGTAAATGTACTTCATTACTATAAACCTCTGAAAACATGTGTTTCAGGACAGAGAAGGATGACTCCCCTCAGAATCCCTAYGTGTTGCTGTCTTATGACGGGACAATTTACTTTGGTGATGACATGCGGGTGGTGAGCACCTGCAAGCTGGATGTCCACAAGTTCCCCTTTGACACTCAGAAATGCACCCTAACCGTTGCTTCTGCACTCCACTGTGGTGCGTTTTGTTCTTAATTGTTCATCAAGTCTCTGTACATTTGCATTCGTACAATTGTCTATCTTTATTTCTTTCTTTTTTCCCTCTCAACAGTAAAAGAAATGCGTATTTTTCCTTTCTCGAACTCCTCTCGGGCCACGCAGTTTTCACATGAGCTGATGAGGTCTCAGGGAGAGTGGGAGTTCCTGCAGCTTTCCATCAGCTCCTCCAATCTCACCTTCGAAAACGGGAGCTTGGAAATGCTGATGTACACGGTACAAGAGAACAAAAAGTGGAGCATTACAGTAAAAAAAAAACAAAAACAATAAAGTTGTACTTGTAGGTATCTGGAGCTCTATTTTTAGAGTGTTGGTTGGAAACAATGAAGGTTCTGATTCACCAAATAGTAAAAATATGAGCTTCTGACCTCAACTTTTGTCTTCATCTTCCAGCTGTTCTTTCTTCAGCAAGACACCCTCCTCCATCTCACACTGTCCTCTGTGCCTTCTGTCCTCATTCCAACTACCCCCATGTTCTCTCTAAATGCATCCACATACAGTACCTCTAACATCCTTCTACCAATATACCCACTGTTCTTCTGCTGGACATGTCCAAACCGTCCCAGTCTGTCCTCTCTAAGTTTATCTCCCAGTGGCTCAACCTGTTCTGTAACCTGATGATCACTCTACCACTCCCAAGGAGAACCCCAACATCCTGAGCTCTGACACTTCCAGCTCTGTCTTTCGTCAGTGTCTCTCACTGTCACTGATGCAGTCCTACTTCCACCTTGAATCTGTCTGTTACTGCACCTCCCCACTGCTGTCCCCAAACATGTCCTGCTGTCCTCATACATGTCCTGCTGTCCTCATACATGTCCTGCAGTCTTCATACATGTCCTGCTGTCCTCATACATGTCCTGCAGTCTTCATACATGTCCTGCTGTCCTCATACATGTCCTGCAGTCTTCATACATGCCCTGCTGTCCTCATACATGTCCTGCTGTCCCCATACCTGTCCTGCAGTCTTCATATATGTCCTGCAGTCTTCATAAATGTCCTGCAGTCTTCATACATGTCCTGCAGTCTTCATACATGTCCTGCTGTCCTCATACATGTCCTGCTGTCCTCATACATGTCCTGCTGTCCTCATACATGTCCTGCTGTCCTCATACATGTCCTGCAGTCCTCATACATGTCCTGCAGTCCTCATACATGGCCTGCTGTCCCCAAACATGTCCTGCTGTCCTCATACATGTCCTGCAGTCCTCATACATGTCCTGCAGTCTTCATACATGTCCTGCTGTCCTCATACATGTCCTGCTGTCCTCATACATGTCCTGCAGTCTTCATACATATCCTGCTGTCCTCATACATGTCCTGCAGTCCTCATGCATGTCCTGCAGTCTTCATACATGTCCTGCTGTCCTCATACATGTCCTGCAGTCCTCATACATGTCCTGCAGTCTTCATACATGTCCTGCTGTCCTCATACATGTCCTGCAGTCTTCATACATGTCCTGCAGTCTTCATACATGTCCTGCTGTCCTCATACATGTCCTGCAGTCTTCATACATGTCCTGTACCAGTCTAACACTCTAGCTTTCTCTGTCATATGCTTTTTCTAAATTCACAAGCACACATTGAAGTTCTTCTTGACCACCTCAGTACTTCTCCTTTACCAACCTCAAAGCAAATRTGGCGTCTYTGGTGCTGTTTCTTAGCATGAAACCATACGGCTGCTCACAAAAGGGTTTTTTTGCCCAGCAAGGCCCGGCCTGGGTCGACCTGGTTTGAAGCCAGGTCGGCCCGGCCCGGGTCAAYCTGGCTTCAAACCTGGGTTCAGCATGTTTGCATTAGCCCATACAACCCAATTCCAGTTAAGGATGCACAATATGAAAATTTCAGCCGATATCGATGTCCGATATAATTATTGCTGTTATTTACCGATATTGCACAAACACAAAAATTGWATCATACATATACGCATAAACACACTTGGGTCTTTTTTTTTGATACTGTAAATAAATGACCAGACCTCTGACATGGCTCCCTACTTCAGTTATTCCTGGCTACGCAGCGTTAAAATCACTATCATGATGCCGCTCAACCAACCATCTCCCCTCCCAAAACAGAAACACAAAGTTGAAAAAGAAGGAAGTCAATATTGGATGTTAATATCAGCCCAGTTTTACATATTGGACCAAAATGATATTCTAAGAAATGACCAATATAGGCCGATGCAGATATTAATGCCAATATATCGTGCATCTCTAATTCCAAATCAACTTCTTAAATCCCAAGACCTGTGGTTCTGTCCAGGCTGTGCTGCTTGGCCTGRTTTGACATCAACTACTGCTGTTCGTCGATTAGTTCTCTGACCAAGGAGGGGTTACGTCACACAAATGAGAGTAACTTTACATGAATAATCTGCAGCGACCAACATACAAGTTTAACTACACAAAAACTGTAACGAGCAACCAAACAACAACAAGCTAACATTAGCTACCATCAGCTTATCATTCTGTGTCATCTTGTCATACTGCTAGATGGTCCGGTACGGCCTTTTGTACTTTCCCCTCAAGTTTGGTGTAGTCGGTTATTGTCTCAAATATATATCTCAAAACACCTGCATGTGCAACATAGACAAAATGCATCATCTACATATGAATGCAACATCTACCATAGACGTCAGCCAAAGACACATAGCAACAGCATATACCAACAACTTCTGCACATATTAMTTCTACATATTTTTGATAGAAATGGAACCCTATTGGGACCTCAACTATCACTAGTTTAAGTTTCAGCAACCATTATCCTCTTTTTATGCATTAYAATAATTGATTTTATGTATTTTAACAACCATTTCAGTTATTTAATTTAGTCTTTAATGACCTTTGAGGTAAGCATGATCCCATTATGACATGGTTGATCAGACCTGGCCCCTGAATTTATGTAAGCAGGTCAGCATGAAGAGGAGACCCCTCCTCCACATCATAAATTTTCTGCTGCCCGTCCTGTTCTTCCTGATTCTGGATCTCGCCTCTTTCTTCATCGCTGACCATCGAGGAGAGAAGCTGAGCTTCAAAGTCACGGTGCTGCTGGCCATCTCTGTCCTGCTGCTCATCCTGAACGAAATCCTGCCCGCCATGTCCAACAGGACTCCTCTCATAGGTACTGAAGCTTCTAACCCTAATAAAGGGACGAATCGTCACTTCAGGTTCTGAGTCTAAAACTTCTGACGGGAGGTTTTCATCTTTTCAGCRACCTACTGCATTGTCATTTTTGCTCTGATGCTGCTCAGCTTGTTGGAGACGATTCTGGTGACTTATYTGATGGAAACAAACGCCAAAGCTGATTTTAACCTGCAGGAGAGAAACGAGGACGAAAACAAACATTTCCCAACAGAAAACTGCAACACAGGTGAGAACTACAGTACATTAGAAGATTTAAAGAAAAGTTTTCCCAAATGTTTATGGTGACATGTGTTTGTTTGTTTGGGCTTTACTGTATCAAACCAAAAAGAACTAATTTTAGTTACATTTGGAAGTTCTTAGTTTGGGATATTTTAATTGTTGATTTAATTTCTCATTAAAAAAAAACTAGACGACCACAGCCAAAATGAAAATTTTTTTTATGCATGTGCATTTTTATCTCAAATCTTTTGTGTTACTTTTTAAAAGATGAAAACCAAAGTGGCTGCTCCTKTATCTGCAGCATGTCTGACAAGCACCACGAGCTCCTGCCTGTTGAAGAGGTACATTATGTTATACGGTGGCATACATTCAGATTAGAATAACTAAATGTGATTTTGTCATTGCAAGTTCATCTAAAACTTTGGAGAACAAAGTTCTACTGACAACAGTTACTCTTGTGAATTGAATCACAGCTTTATTTCATGCACTGCTCACTGTGCAGGAAGTAAAAGTCAAAMAGAACAGGACAGAAAAAAACAGAACTGGTCTGTGTGCAGGTGAACAGCATCCTGCAGCCAGGAGAAGCTCCTGCTCTGCTGCTGATCCTCGACGAGTTGAAGAAGTTGCAGAAAACGGTTTATCTGCATCTCGGCTGCAGAAAGGAGAGCATGAAATCCGTGTGCTGGGCGAAGAGGATCAACAGAGCTTTCTTCCTTTTCTACATCGTCACTGTTTTGCTCTTTTTATCCTTCATCTTTATAGAGTGGAACAGTTAGAAATGTAACGTCAATTACTCTGTTTTGGAAAATAGATCAAGATTCAGTGTATTGATGCAAGAGGTGTGGTGTGCTTTAAACAAACTCTGATTTTGTTTTGTGTTCTAGCATATAAAAAATTACCGAACATTTCAGAGCTGAAAGCAAAGGTAGAAAAATCTGGGCTTGTAAATGTGTCGCTGTTTATGATTRGTGTATAAAATGTGAACAGTCAGGGGAATACTTTTGGTTGAAAATTATAGAAATTGTTTGTGTAAGTTGGTGCACCTTAACGGTAATATGCTTTAAAGATATGTTTGCTTTTCAGTTTTACTGTAAATGCTTTGAGTTTAGAAAATTTTCACCATAAAATTAAATAAGTCTGATGCTTAAAGGAAAGGAAAATACTTTTGTTGATGAAATGTGTGTTTACATGGACATAAGTAATCTGAATAAACCACCAATCAGAATAAAAATGCATCATGTAAATGCCCCMATCTGAGTAGTCTGATCTGATTCAACTTGATCAGAATGAATTTATAATCTGAATGGGAGGGGTGGTCTGAACTGCATGCATATAAACATTTATTCTGATCATGTTAATCTGACATAATTCCACCCGGCTAGATGGTAATATGTCAGGGAAGCAAAATTGGTTGTTTAGCGATACAACATTTCAATCAGAAACTTTGAAAGAACTCAAAATGATCGAACACAGTTGATAGTAAATGTGAGAGAGTTTGATAGTAAATGTGAGAGAGTTTGATAGTAAATGTGAGAAAGTTTGATAGTAAATGTGAGAGAGTTTGATAGTAAATGTGAGAAAGTTTGATAGTAAATGTGAGAGAGTTTGATAGTAAATGTGAGAAAGTTTGATAGTAAATGTGAGAGCAAGTTTGAATTATGGACTAAAGGGCCTCTCATAGAATGCCTTGATGGTGGAAAGGGTCGGAACATGGACCAGTAACATCTCCAACGTTATTAAAACCTGGTGTGGGTCCATTCTGGTTGCTCAGAAGATGGAATGTTTATGTTCATCATGGAAGTAAAACAACTACTGGTATGTTTTATTTTGGTGGGAAAGTTTCCAAYTCAGCCCWWGTCAGTGCTTCTATTCCGAATAAAAGCCTGGTKCATGTAARCACTCATCATGATTGGATAAATTATAATTTGTGCCCATCTAAATAGTACATTCGGATTATTTAATCCAATTACATGTACACATTGTACATGTAAACATAGCTTTTGAGCGGGTTACAGGGTCTCTTTTGCTTAGGACCCCCAGAGTGCGTTGAAACACTGCTACAAAGTTCAGTTTATTCTTATCTGGCTGTAAAACATGAAGCTTTATTTAACAGCACAATMTAAATACAGTTTATTTTTAAAGAAGGAGAATAGTTTATTATATTGGCTCTGCTCTCATCTGTCTGGATTGTGGTGAACGTGACCAGAGCTGAAAGTGAAAGGACTGAGAGAAAGCTGTGGCAYGCTGGGAAAAGAACAACTGCTCATCAGTGATTACATGCTGGTTTAATATTTAGAGCAGGAACGAAGTTTCATCCAGCTCCAGTCAGGTCTTGATGCTCAGCTGCCCGCTGTGAGACTGACAGGAGACAACAACGTGGGTTTAAAGTGGGTTACATTTGTGTTCATGATGTCTTTACTACAGTTTGTGAGATCAAGTTTCCCCTCTAATCACAATTACATTTGATTTGCTGTTGGATGCATCCTCTCTGAGCGTGTACACGAAACATGTGCAGAGCAAGATCTGTCTTCTTATCTCTCTTCCTGGTGACAAAAGGCCGTAAAGTCACATTATCTCTGCCTCCAACAGGAACAATGCCCTGCACCTGCCTTTTTATCCACTTAACTTTTTGAAATGTTCCTCTTAAAACAGTTATCTTTAATCACAGCTGTCCTAAGCATCAAAGTGAAGCCTAATTTATAGGACATGCTGCTTGTCTCCTCCCTCAGTGAGCTCATTTTCTGTCATTTTTCTCCAAATGGGAGGGATTTCTCATTTCAGGCAGTGAATTGATTCAGTTTGTGTGCAGAGCCCTCCTCAGCTGAGAGGAAAGAAAAGCAGCTTCTTCCTGCAGGAATGATGCACCTTGGACTTTTCCTTCTGCTCTTCCTGRCAGGTGAGTCGACTCAAATTTGGATTTCTGGTTTGCTCGCTGGTGTTTTCAGAATAAATTTTATCTCTTGTTTCTGTTTACCCTCAAATCTTTTAAAAGATTTATAGGTTGCATATTTGTTTGGCTTTGTATTTGTAATTAAGAGTAAATCTCAAAAACAGTGAGGCTATTGTAATTAATGTCTTGAGCTAGAAATGCAAAACAGAAAAAATGTTTTATGGGTGGTAAAAATGCAGAGAAAATCTGTAAAGAATGAATATTCAGAACAAAAAAGAAACAGAACGTCTTTTAAAAAGCTTGTATTTAAGACTTGCATATTTTCAAGATGATCTTAGTAGTAAAATATGAATCAATGAACTCGTAATTATAAACAATACTCACAACCTGTCAAATATCAAAACAACAAGGTAGAACTTGGTATGCCTCTGGCTGCCCTCGACTCATCTGCATTTAAAGCACTGGACATGCATCTCAGTGTGATCATGCATGCAAAAGGCATTGTACTGGGCACTTTGTCAAAGGGAACATTGTGGAGGAACTTTGTGACCTTGGACTTTGAGATTTTTATTTTTCTAGATGTGTACTGCTCGTTTTGATTAGTTCTATACACTCAGATTATAATATCAGACAAATATTGAAAGACAGGTTGACTTGAATATTCTAGAAGTATGTGACCATATCAACAATGTGTAAAYATGAATTCCTCTTTGATTTTTGCCAGGTCATTAATTTCAGTGACCAAACCCCTTCATTCAGCTTTGACTCCAAAAYGCATTCAGACCTTCATTGGGCCAAAAACAATTATCACACAAACAGWGTGACGGACAGAGTTTCACACCCACAAATGCACAGACGGACAACCAAAGAACTCTGACCCCAGTGGGTGGAGTAATAATAAAAAAACATTATAAACACTAACAACAACACCACTGAAGTGGTGTTCKGTTCGAGCCCGATACAGATCATTACTCTTGTCAGAACACCAGATCCTTTATATCCTTAGTCTGGGAAGTTCTTGCCTGATGGTAAAAGTATAAAAACAAGCCTATATTTGGTGAGCTAGGCTGCAGAACATTGAGTTTAAAATGGGACTGTTATGTGTTTGTGTGTGTGTGTGTGTGTGTGTGTGTGTGTGTGTGTGTGTGTGTGTGTGTGTGTG